TCTATATGTCATTAATAAAGCGCCTTAAAATGTTCAGGTTCTTAAATCAGATCAAGAGAGAAAAGTAACTAAAATAAATTGGTAAACAACGACCACATATTTACAAACATCAATTTATAAAATTCTAGTTCAACGGAATAAGGCTGTTAGCTAATTATGAAAGGACTCGATTGACCTGCTTCTATTTGTTGTATGTACTGAATAGTCTGACTAATCCAGTTAAGAAAGCACAACATCTTCAGTATGATTATCCTTTTTTTGAATGGTATCTTTAACAAACTATACAAGATTCCAGTCATATATTACATATCCCTGAATGTAAGTACATGGATTAAGAATGAATGAATAATTTTCCCCATTGATATTTTTGCATTAATATATTTATAGTTTGATTTGGTTGGTTTGATTAGCATAATCATTTGTCTGATCTTTATGTAAAAAAGAACATAAGTAGTCATAGTGATTAAATTGATGATATGTCCAGAAAATTTATAATCAAAGATCATCCATATGAACTTCAGATTACAGTATTGTAAATTAATTGATTTTCTTGGAATATGATTTTATTTATAAACTTTTAAATGAATATTATGTAACCGTATAATACATATAAATAATGGAATTACAAGTTATAAGGCATATTGATAAAGCTTAAATTCTACCGATAATATCAAAATAAAAAAAAATTGGTTAATGATTAAAAGAGCCCCAAAATACCCTGGTACGGCCAAGAGTGGGGAGAGTCAACTTTCCCTCTCGAAATGCACTCACATAACCCCGCATATGCAGCCACTGTCAGAGAACTCCTACTCACTACCCTCTCACAACCGGGCGTGTTTACGAAAATGAGAAGGCAAAAAGTGAATGTCTGGAGCTTTAACCGGGCTGGTAGATATAGATGATATTATCTAGGTGAGTTGGGAAAGCGGGATTCCAAACCAATGACGCACTTGGGTTTAGTATCCTGAGGGAACGAATGGCGTATGAACCAGTTATTGATTACCAGCTACCATGAGACTGCATCTTCTGACGATGCTCTACTGCTTTGTGGATAAGACTTTTAAGTCGAAGGCTCCGGGTGTGGCCCCCTAAGAAAGCCACCTACTTCGGTCTGGGAACTCAACTAGTATCCCAGTCGTCACACAAATCAAGTAACTTGTGTAACGCATATGTATTCGGTGCCTTCTAGTACCAATAATTATGTGTTCAGATAAACAAATAAGAAAAGAAGATCATTACCATGTATAATTAGTATTATTACGATGTACTCAGCCAGTCAGCTACAACGTAGGATCAAGCACATTTATGTATCGGTTCAAGTTGCCATACCTTATTAGCACAACAAGATGATCACCGGACTCATAGAAGTAGTTAATTCAATGGTGGTATTATATAAAAGAAGGATTGCATATAAGAATATAGTACGGGAAAAAAGAATTAGTTCGTAGAAAGAAAGATATGAAGTGGTTTTGATCTCATGTTTTAAGGAAAGACAGAGAGTGTATACACCTACACTATTGTGATCGATTCTGAAACATGTCATCCAGTCTCCAACCATTGGTTACGATAGCCACACGGACCCAAACCAAGTAGTTTGCATCGACCGACATGGCTCAGACCAGAAGCTAGTGACTTCAAGCACTGATGCCACGTTTTGGTTGGTTTGGCCGTCCTTTACTTTCTTTCAAACATCCCCTAAACTAGTCAGCATTTCACATCGTGGTAATCAATGTTCAGGCATACGTAACACATGGCCCATCCATCTCAGTCGATGAAGATTTACAACCTCATCAACTGATTTACCATCATTCCCTAACACTTTGAGTCTAACTTCACTATTACTTACCCGGTGATCCCAGCAGATGCGTGCAATATTTCTATGACATCTGTGTTCGAATACTGATAACTCACGAGTATTTTCTACTCTTAATAGCCACATTTCTCAGCTGTAAAGGAGAACAGAATGAACTGCCGCACAGTATACTCAACACCATATAGATGTACTAATTTTAAAATATTTTAAAAACACTATTATCAATGGAAGTAAAAAAAATATTGAAATGTTTATGTAGGATCCATACACCTACACTAGTTTGTTCTTATGGAAATTGGTTTATGGTTTTATGTTCCATTTGAATATTTAATGGGTTATTTATAATCCTGTAGATACATATATATAATTTCTAATTGATTAATTATTAACATCTATCCATGTACCTTTTTTTACATAAACGGTACTCTTGACTATCTGTTTGTTTATTCGATCATAATATTCATGTGTAATATATGGTTAGACATGAATTTGACTGCCAAGTTAAATACATATCCTACATAGCTTATATAATTGATTTTTTTTTGTTGTTTTGCATTAATCTACTCATCTTTACACAGCTAGATTGTAATTCTTACTTCTTATAAACGTTATACTCTATATATGTACTCTATTGAATAAGTAGTATAAAATATGTAAAATATATTTTTTATACATTTCGGATTCGACTTCTAATATCATATGAATTGAATTTAGTTACATCTTGAGATGACCACTGGATTCATTATCACATTCAATTCAAGAATGTTTATATGAATTTGACTAAACAAAATAGTTGAATAAATTTTATTTTAGTAATTAATTCTATTTTGTTATTGTATCAATTGAATTAAAGCAAACATTTTCTTAATCGAGAAAAGACAAAAAAAAAACGAAAACTAAGCCAGTAAATGATCAATAATGAGACTGGAAAAACAAAAAGAAAACAACTTCATAAATTTTAATTTGAGAAAAGTTTTGTGGATATCAATGTAATTTAGTAGTTGAATTCATGAATTAATTGAAGTTAGATCATCATGGGAAACCTGGAAGCACTGGACAGATGTTTTATTCTAGTATGGGACTTCTCAGTAGTGCGCATCTACGATCCCGCCTCGTGAGATTCCAACTCAGAGCCTATTGGTCTTGTGCGCTCGCGCACTGCTAAGGAGTCCTAAAATAAGACTCATGAATTCAAGTACTATATGTTAATTTAATAATCTGAAAATTTTATTAGTGAATTATCCAGTTTAATTGTTAACAATGAAGAAATACTCCATTCTTTATGAGTTTTTTTGCGAGAGTATAATTTATAGACGAACTAATGACGTATAACATAACATGTCTCGGATTTTGGCACGATATTTACTCATCCATTTGGCTAAATAGAGTTTTGGCATTATAATTTCTAACCTTATCCATCAACTATGAATCAAAATTTAATTTCCACACATTGGTTTATAACCCTCATTTGGTACCGCTTATTAGGTGGACACTCTCAAGGTCAGTTTAGCGTCACTCAAAGGTCGTCCATAAATTGTAATCTCACCGTCTTGTTTTTCTAACATTTCAATTCAATAAAAATAACTCATACATAGTTTGGATGCTCATTTCATTGTTTTAATTGTATTACTATAAAAAAAAGTTTATTTTATTAGGGAATAGATATTTATTTTATATAATGTTTACAATGAATGTATATAGATGGATACAGTGTAATTAGATCATGTCTATGGAATGATAATAAAAATAGTGTAAAGCTATACATCAGCAGTTTATCAACTTATAAATATTTATATTTAAAATATGTAATACATCAACTTTCTATGTTGTACTCATAATGTATATTCATTGATATTACAAACTAATGACTGTAATGTGAGTTTCCAAGAAGCGAACTCTCCTCTTTGTTGCTTTGATAACTTAGTGGTAATGTCGTTAACTATGAAGCTGAGTGACATGGGATTGAATACGTCACGAAGCATCAGTTCCCTCAAGACTGCAGGTTCATCTTACTTAAGAGCGCTAAGTAGCATGTAAGTTAGGTCAAACCACTCGTTTCTCGGAAAAAACAATTTATAGCTGAATAAATTCACTACAGAATGAAGATAATCATATTAATAATTTGTGTACAATTAGTTGATAATAATTTTTGATTGTTTTTTACCTGTTAAATTACTGAATCCATATAGGGACTGACTTATTCAATGGGTACGATGTATGTTTGAGTTATTTTGCTTTCATTATTTGGCACTGGATTTCAATCAGTCTTTGTTGGTAAACATGCATGATAAAGTCATTTTATTGCAAACCTTTTTGAACAGATAAATGTTGACTAGTTGTGCATTTAGCAGTTTATTAGACTAAGTTCAACGATACCATACTCATGTGATAATTTAAACATCAGAACTGTGATACTGGTATATTCAGTATATATTCAGTAATGAATACCAAGAAAAAGAAATAATTCAAACTCTTACTAATAATAATGATAATAATAATAATAATAAACTATCAGAAGGTATTTTGTGGAGATTGTAATAATTTGAAGAGTTGATATCATGAGTCAATTGTAGCTAGACCACCATAGAAAACCTGGAAATACTGGCTGGCTATTTCTTCCTATTGTAAAAATCCTTGGCAGTGCGCATCCACTAATGATCTGAACATTCACTATGTTATCGAGAGAACTGAACAGTTATTTCTTTATAATTTTATTGATACAATTACCTAAGGATCAAAAATAATAAAACAAAAAATAACAAATATTTGTTTACAGATTAAATAATAAGTTTAAAAGTCATTTGATTATATTATTGTTATCGATTAATTATTGGTTTATTATTATGATTGAATTAGGCATTTAAGACATTGGTACATGTTAGACTTAAGTTAACCAGTTAATCAATATGTGTCAAGATTGTCAAGATTATATATATATATATATATATATATATATATATATATATAGTGTAAACGTAATTGAAATGCACACAACCATACTTCAACGGTAAGCACAATGATATTAGTTAAGCCTTCTTTCATTATTGTTCATTACTTTTAATGCTATTCTTTCATAATTCTCTATATAAACATTATATATATATATATATATATATATATATATATATATATATATATAAGCATTATCACTAAGTAATTATCGTTGTCTTTTCGTTCTACACTCTAGCCAACAACAACAACAACAACAAAATCAAGGAAATACTGAATTGTTACATACATCTTCAAGTACATTATGCTCATTTATCTCAGCCACGCCTAATTGGACAGTAAGTAAAATATTGAATAAATAATGTAAAAGAGAAAAATAAACATTTTAAAGTATAGTATTTGATATAATCAGTTTCAGGCTTTATCTATCTATCTATCCATCTATTTATCTACCTACCTAAATATATATATATATATATACCATTTGTATTTTATATTGTTATGCTGAATACAAGTTAAATGTATAAAAATGAATTTTTTAGTGAATAAGTTTCATGAAGGTTGAATTGTGTCATAACTTGTCATTTTTGAAATGACAGTTAATTACAGTTTGTGTTGTGAATTACATTCAACAATATACAATCAATATTCTTTAAGTCAAGATCTATAATGATTTTATAATATTTATTAGAAATACACATAACTCAGCATAAGAAATGAAGTTATTATGTCAACGGAATATCAGTGATTCATATAAGTTAGACATTAACACCGTTGGATGCCGGCAGGCTTAATGGTTTGGAGGTTAAGCGTTTGCGTGTGAGGCCGATAGGTCGAAGGTTCAAATCTCGCGAGCAGGACCTTGGATGTGTACTGTTGAGGAGTTCCATACTACGACGAAATGATCGTCTAATACTTCCAGGTCCTCACAATTGATTGACTAGATATGCATGACATTGATCACTACCCAATGATCAATCAATTGTGATTACATCTCAGTCCTACAGGAGGTCGGTCGCAGCCCAGATAGCTCAGTGGTAACGTCTCTGACTGTGAAACTGGGAGAGACAGGATCAAATCTGTCAGGGAGCACCAGTTCTCTCAAGATTACAGGTACACCTTGCTGACAAGTGCTAAGAAGCACGAAACGCGTTTCCAGAGTTTCCTGTTAACTATCTCCAACCACCATCTAACTTCCAGGTTCTTCATGATGGTCTAGCTTTAATTGACTCATGAATTCAACTATTACATAAGGTATTGGTTTGCCAATTATTTTTAAAATACTTTTAAAAATATACATATCTTTTTAAAGCACGGTTAGGTGGATGTATTCCTGAAATCTTTTACACATTTAGATACATAAAAATGAAATGACCATCATCATTGTTTAAACATTATCCTAGATAAACAGAAATAAATATTTACATAGTTGAAATCGTTAGTCGATTGAAGTTAGACCACCATGGAAAACCTGGAAGCACTAGACGGCCGGTTCGTCCTAGTATGAGACACCTCAGTAGTGAGCATCAACAATCCCACTACCCGCGAGTTTCGAATTCAGAACTTATCCGTCTCACATACGAGCGCTTAACCATCAGACCGCTGAGACGACCTGCCGGTATCCAACGGTGTTAATATCTAACTTCAACCAATCCACGAAATCGTGCCACCGTACCCCATTGTCTTCAGTGAGCTGATATCTCCACTTAAATGACTAAAATCTCCACAAAACCCCTTCTGATAATAATAATTTACACTACATATCTTCCTATTTTGATGTCAGTACTTTATTATTTAAAAGAAAAAAACAAAATCATAATATCACTATATTACTATGGAGTAAAGGAAACATAGTACTAATCTATAGTCATCATTTCATGGAATATTCATTAGGAAATATGATGTCAAGTCATATATAATGTTTAGAATAATAAAATTATCCTTTCCAATAAGTAAATATTTAACATCAATATCATCTATATAATGACACTACTAATAAAACTACTTAAATAGTTTATATCTATAATAGGTTAATATATTTTTACTAGGGTTTTATAGAATGAACATATTGTTTGTTTTGTTATTTAAACATGATAGTTTAACTTGGTGTCAAATATATTAGAATATCAATAGATTAAATGATTATTTATACTGACCAAATGGTATTTTCTTTTTTGCAAAATAATTGAACAACAATGACCTCATGTTCTTCTCATTCATTAGAAAACTTTAAAACTATTATTAATATTAAGTTGACATACATATATGTTATATGTTAGTAAGTAAGTACTAAGTACAAATTAAATATGACCTTAGTTTCTTGAATGATCAACAATAAATGTAATAGTGTTTAGGTGATAAATTCATGTATGAACTTATGTTATCATCACATGTCATAAACTAGACTTCTTTATAAACAGTGAATTTTTCATTTATTTTACATAGTTCTTGTATATATAATCAGTTGTTGTTTTCATCAAAACATATATATTTGGAATAGTAATATCATTTTGAATGTGCTGAATTACTTTCGAGTTAACAACCATTTTCAAACTAGAAATAACACTTAACTATTCAAAAAGAGGCTAAGATTATTGACCTGAGTTATTATATTTATTCTCTGAAGAAGTGATATACACTAAGTCACGAAACGTTAGAAAATCGAATTTTTCTACTCATTGGGATATTACAAATATATTATTTATTTATTTCTAGGTTAATTAATTAAGATTTTTTTTTTGAGTATCTAAAATCAAATAAATAACTTGGATTTAAAAGTGAATCAATTGGTATTGGTTTACTTGTATCTTTCCTTTGTTATTTAGGACTACAATTGATCAGCCTCTTGTTGACATATGAGCATACTGTGCGAACTGCCTCGATATTACTTGAAGTCACAAGCTTTTTAAGCAAAGATCGATAGTGGTGGCTGGCAGTGGAATCCATGACGTGCGTCTCGTCATATTTGGATGTAAATGCATCTCATAGTAGATGTTCACTATGGGACTCGAACCCAGTATCATTAGCTTTAAACGCCATTGTGTTATTCACTATTCATCTTTGCTTAAAAAGCTTGCGACTTAAGGTTATATCGAGGCAATCCGCACAGGACGCACAAATGACAACAAGAAACTAATCAATTGCAGTCCTAAATAAAAATGAGAAGATACAATAAAGTAACATCAAGTGAATTTAAACTTCACCCCATTGCACAAGCAGGTGACTATCAGAACTCAGTAGCTAAGTGGATAACGCGATGTGGTTTGAAGTGGACGGCAATCGGTTCGAGTCCCAGAGTAAACATCAACTCTGGGATGCAGGTGCATCTATTTGACGAGTCCCAAATAGGACAAAACACATCTCCTGGATTCCACTGCTAGGCACTATCCATCTTTGCTTAAAAATAGTGTATGAATGTATGAAATTGTTCAATATTATTTTAATAAAATCCATAGCAAAATACTATTCAGTTTAATGGTATTTAAACAATAAACGTGACTTCTATCATTCACAATCGTTTTTAACAAATGAAGTTATACTATTGGGATTAGGTTTTCTTTATTTGAGTAGAACGTCGATGTTTTTGTGCCATATCTGAATCAATTAGGTTTAACGATCTGGAGTGTGAGGCAGTTAATCTCCAAAGACTGAAACGCAATACTGTGAAGTGATTGAATCGTGACGGTGAAGTCATTAGATGCTCGATCAGCAGTGTTGATATCAAGCTTTCTTTACGAGAGCTGAAGTTACTGCATCCGATGCTTAGTGTTGTGGATGCACACTACTGAAGGGATGTATACTGGGACAAAACAGATATCCGATGCTTTTCGGTTTTTAACGGTTGTCTAACTAAGGAAATTTCATAACTTTAATAACATTCAGCTAACTTCATAGAACCCCATAATGATGAAAGAAAACATCCGTAAGATTTCGAAATCAAGATGATAAAAAATGGAATTCATAGGTGATATTTAGTTGTAAAACTCTTGTGATTGTTCCTTTGAAGGCTCAATATCTTTTCACCTCATTGTATGTTAGGTACTTGTAAATGCATCTATCCCTTTCCTTGATGCAATAAACAGAATACCAAGCTGAATTAAGTATATTTCAGCATTAACCATTGACAAATTCATGTCGAAGAATCATCAATATTAAATTATACATTAAAGTTTATTTTTTGATGGATATTAGAGTTTATTATGCATATCGTTTTGCTATTTTTATAATTTGTACTTTGATGAAATTGTTACATTTCAGAATGCTGCATTAATTGGTGAACATTTATGGAATGATACAACTTCTACGGAAACGTGTTATGTTGATGAATCAGAATGTACTGTAAGTTCAATGATAGTTTCATCGTGTTTTTTTGTTTTCATATTTATAAATCATTGTATACATTTGAATGTTGATGAATTAACTGTGAAATGATGTCCAATTCACTCATCAAACTACGGATAGATTATTGACTGAGATCTTGGACCTATTGATGTTAGACCACCACTGAAAACCTGTGAGCATTGGATGGCCGATTCGTCCTATTGTGGGACTCCTCCTTGGAAGTGCGCATCCACGATACTGCTAGCGTTATTCAAACTCAGAGCATTCAACCTCGCGCTCGAATGCTTAACCTACTGGATCACTGAACCGGCCGGCATCCAATGGTGTTAATGTCTAACCTCAACTAATCCACGAAATTGCGCGACCATCTTCCATTGTACTGAGGTAGATACCTTTCTCTATCCGACACGTATTAGCTCCACTGGTCACGACTTTTAACTAGAACTCCGAGAATTCTCTCACGAAGTTAGTCACTAGTGAGCACATGGTAATTATCAGTATAAGGTTATATAGATTAAATGTAGCATTTTGAGAATTATAACTATTTCTATGATTCAACTAGAATAGTACATGATATGGTATGAGTAATTTTCTTGGAAGAATTTTACATTCCTATTTTAAATCAAAATTCTTTACATGGTTTGATTGTATTATTTTGTTCAATTCACTTTACGAAACGATTTTAGCGAGAGAATCATTGAATACTGTGGAGCATTGAATAGATACTTTGTATTACTATGAAATCTAATCTAAGGGTAATACATATTATATGAGGCATAAAGCTTTTGTGTTTAACCTTCAGATAAGGGGAGGGGGTGGTTCATAAGTATTCACATTCGACTCTTCAGCTGTGGCGTAAATTATATTCTTATTACATTTTATTTTAAGTTAATAATAAAATATTTATACGAATGTTAAAATGTTAAAAAGTCTGATTGAAAAAGCCGCATTAAAGTTTTGATTTAGTATTATTAAATGTTAGTTTAATTACCATAGTTACGTAATCTAATTAGTGAAACAACTTTTAAATTTCTTAAAAATGTAAAAAGCTACTTAATTCAAAGTAATTAGCAACTTACGTTTTTACTCTTGTGAAGTAACACAGAGTGATTATATAATTGATTGAAGAAAGGAACATTTTTATTAATTTATATTTTGCTGTGGTCTTTTACTGTCCTCGTATTTATTTCAGCTCAAGTATTTTGATATTTTAAAACCTCTAGATAACTGTACAATCCTAATTCAATGGTCTAGAGGTTGAGTACTGACACATAAGACTGAAGATCCTAGGTTCGATTATTGAGTTTGAGGTCATAAAGATGCACTGCTGAGAAGTCCCATATTAGGACGAAATAGCTGTATAATGTTTTCACGTTTCCAATCTTAATCTGACCTAGATAAGTTCATGAAATCAATGGAGGGGGTTGAGGTTTCAGATTTTGAGCGATTGTTAATTTGCCTGCTGTATATAATCTACAGGGATTGGATTGATCATTTAATCATTTTTTCGTATCACATTGTAGTGTCGAATATTATGTTAAGCCTACATAACTTATTCTAACTTCTGGACAGGTCAATTTATCCATTCTTCTTGAGTTACATTTTTGCCTTGTCAATTACTCACTTATCAACCCTGACTGTTTTCACCACATGTCTATACTTTATTTTTGTGTGACTATAAATATTGATTAACGCTTGGTTAAATGGAGTTGGCTCACACTCCTTTTCGTTTCGCTCTCTCTTCTCCGCTTCCTTTGCTATCTCTCTCTCTCTCTCTCTCTCTCTCTCTATATATATATATATATATATATATATATATATATATATATATATATATATATATATATATATATATATATATATATATATATTGAAAAAACATTCTTCGTATTTGATTTATTTTAATTCCGTTATTCACTAACGAAATTTATGTTGATGACTATATATGAAGACGGGCGACATATGTATTTCAATAACATTCATACAATTTAATTGAAATCAGTTATTATGCCACAAAAATACCATCAAAAGATAATATTTTTTTAAAATTTTCATTTCGAACGTTTTGTACAGTATAACATGGTATTTCTACCGCTTAATATTTGAATTTTACGCAAAAATTTCAAAGCTGAGTTCTTGATTCCAAGTGGTTGACCCTTATCAGTCAGTCAGTAACAGCGTAGAACTTCGTACGTACGTACATCAGTTCAAGTTGCCATACCACATTAGCATAGAGATACAATTATTGATTCAAATCACATAATGGTAGAGGTAGAGGAGTAAAGGAAAGGGACATGAAGAACTCAAAAAATTAGAATTTGAGAGAACACAAAGAGTGGATACACCCGCTCGATTGCAAACGATTTTGAGCCATGTTACGTTAACCCCTATATCATAATTTTATTTGAAAAATCTATTATTGTGTACATTACCAAAAAAATGGTTAGATAATTTTAATAATTATTTTATTTTAATTTTATAACAATAGAATAATCAGCCAACAGATGTGAGACAGATATGGAGATTGTTCAATTGTTTGTTTTTCACGGTCTACATCATTTACTAATCTTAATTAAGTATATGACCTTAATGTAGATTAATAAATTAACACAATTATATAATTTTAGCGTTTACAAATGATGTAATATGTAAACTGAAAAGTATGGTGCACTTGGTATTGTTTTGCTTGTATCTTTTTTTTAAAACTGTAATTGATCAGTCTGTTATTGACATATGTGCACACTGAGTGTATACCTCGATATTGCCTTATTTCACAAGTTTTTTGTAAGCAATGATGGATAGTGGTGGCTAGCAGTGGAATCCAGGACGTGCGTTTCGATCTATTTCGGGACTCGTCAGCTGGATGTACCTGCATCTCATAGTTGATGTTCACTCTGGGACTATTTATATGGTGTATGTTACTTATGTCTATCAACGTAAGTAGTATGTTATACCAATCGGAAATAGAATGCTTAGCAATAGATGATTGGGAAATCGAACTAAAGAGAATGTAAAGAATGTTAAAAGAGAGTTATTGTAATCAGAGCTGGAATAAAGAAAAGAAAAAGTTTGTAAGAGACAATTGATGTTTGATATGCAAGTGAATTATTTAATGTATAATTTTCAATTTTGAATTGAAAAACAAATTGGTTTTTCCCACCTAAGTGTTGATTACGAGTTTTTTTTAAAGCTTCAGATTCATTATAATTTGATTTAGTTACTAAGCTTAAATAATACCATGTTGCCATATACCTAATGGAATTTAAATGGAATTACGTAGGTGATACAAATGTATACAGTTGAACAAGTGAGAAATAAATAAAAAACCCGAACATCTGACTTGTACACTTCTGTAATTCTTCTTCATCTTTCTTTTTCATACAATAAAGATGACATATTACCATGGATTTATTTAGATCTATCTCCCCACCCAACCCCACCCCACCTCCTTCAAAATTACAACAAGAACAACTAGTTTTGTAACCAACTTCCATTCGCTATAATTGTCTGATATCTTTTCAATGAATCAAATATAATTTTAATATACAAAGTATTATAGACATTTTATAATCAAATCTAATTTATTTGTAATCATTCATTTATTGGCACTTAGTTCATCCATTCTATTTTAATTTCACTCTCTCTCTCTCTCTCTCTCTCTCTCTCTCTCTCTCTCTATATATATATATATATATATATATATATATATATATATATATATATATATATATATATATATAATCCTTCTAATTCAATTCATCTTACATCATCATCATAAGCTGTAATCTTGTATTGGATTTTGACATTTTAAGTCCATTTCTTTTTCTTTTTTTTTATTTATCTCTCATAGTTGCTATAATCATTATGTAATTTCGGGTTTTGTTTTTATTTTTTTTTTAGTTATAAATGATCTTAATTAGTTTAATCGAAAGCATATAAATAGACAATAGGAATGTTATATGAATCTTAATTAATCATTGAATAGTAACTAATATGATGTGTTTGTCTATTCTTTTAAGTGATACTTGAATTCTATCAAATAGTTTACAATTTATCTCTGTAGTTTTTCGTTTTTTTCTTTTGGAAATGATGGAGAAGATTCTTGTTTCAGATGGATACTTGTAGTTATGTTAATGTTCTTTAAAGTTGGTCAATTTACCTGAGAAGATTTCATTGTTGTTTTGTACATAATATATGGAGAACTTTTTTGTTATAAAAATGATTCGGTTGATTGGTTGGATTGATTGAAGTTAGACATTAACACCGTTGGATGCCAGCTGAATTGTCTGAAAGTTAAACGTTCAAGCGCGAGACTGGTAGGTTCTGGGTTCGAATCTCGCGGGGGGTGGGATAGTGAATGCGCACCGCTGAGGAGTCTCATACTAGGATGAAACGTCCATCTGGTGTTCTCAGTGATCCAAAAGTTGAGCGTTCGCGCGCGATAGGTCCTGGATTCGAATCTAGTGAGGTGGGGTTGTAGATACGCACTACTGAGGTGTCTCATACTAGGATGCTTCAATTCACTTATGAATCCAACTATTAAATTACTAAAAATGATTTATTTAATTTGATTTTCCGAGTGATTTAATAATGTATGAACAAAACTGAAATTTTAATTGATAGAAATTAATTAACAGGAAACTGTAGACCTATACTAATCGAATCTTCAGTCATAAATAAATACATGTCTATTTTGAATCTTCATCTCTTATTAAATGCGAAAATAATAAAAAGCGATATTGTTGTAGCATTGTCGTGGTATTCAAAAAAATACTGGAGTACCAGTTTTTGATAATACTTTATATAAGATCACGGAGAACACCAATCCAATCACACATTGTGAAGAATATCTGGGGGAGGTGGAAAGTTTCAAATATCTGGGTAGCATCATCGATGAACGTGGATGATATGATTTAAACGTAGAGGAGAGGATTGTCAAAGCAAGGACAGAATCCCTACAATTGAAGAACATATGGAATTCAAAATAATTGTCAAGA